CCAAATCCTTCATATGAAAACATCGACCTAGATACTCCTTAAATGCAGCAGTGGAGGTTGGGTCGCTCCCAGAAATGATGAGATCATCGACATATATCAGAACAAGCAAGCTCAACGAGTCACAATGAAGGACGAACAAGGAGTAATCAGAATAGGACTGCTGAAAACCATACTGTCGTAGCGCAGTAGCAAGTTTCGCAAACCAACACCGAGGGGCTTGCTTTAAGCCATACAGGGACCTGTGTAGCCGACATACCTTACCGGAATCAGGTGAATAAAAGCCCGGAGAAAGTCCCATGTAGACTTCCTCAGTCAGATCCCCATGTAAAAAAGCATTGTGCACGTCCATCTGATGGGCCTCCCAATGGCAAGCTGTCGCGACAGCAAGGAAAGTTCGCACTGTAACCATCTTGGCGACAGATGCAAATGTCTCCTGATAATCAATGCCTCAATCTGCCGGTTACCCAAGACAACTAAACGCGCCTTATAGCGCTCAACAGATCCATCAGAGTTATATTTAATTTTATAAATCCACTTACAACCAATCGCATGTTTCCCAGTAGGAAGAGAAACAACATCCCAAGTGTGATTGGTTTCTAATGCGCGAATCTCCAGTTGCAAGGCAGATCGCCAACGACTGTCTTTAATAGCCTCGGAAAATGTCTGAGGCTCAACAGCAGAGGTGACGGCGGCCAAAAATGACTTATGTGCTGAAGAAAAGGAAGCACAAGAAACATAGTGATCAAGAGGATAAGGTGTACCAGAGTTCGAGGATGCGATGGAGGAGCCAGAGTGAGGGTACGAACAAATAGTGTAAGAGACGAAATCAGCAAGACATGAAGAGGGACGCTTGATCCGATGACCACGACCGAGCACCTCATCTGGGTATTAACACCCCCTATCATCAGTAGACGTAGGAGCCCTATTGGTAGCAGTACCCGTCATAACCGGAGCTACCACATCATCATCATCGTCAGATACCAAAGGCCATGAAGCAACCGGTGAAGAGGGAGTATCAGGGGAGGTCAGATAAGGAAACTCAAACTCACAAAATTCTACATCACGTGAGATCAGAAAACTATGACTATCTACGTCATAAGTGCACCAACCCTTTTGACTAGCTGGATAACCCACAAAAACACACCTTCTACTCCGACTTGCAAATTTGTCACCATCCCTATTCTTATTATGTACGTAGCACAGACAACCAAATACCCTCAAATGTGCATAGTCAGGAGGTTTGTCGTACAAAATCTCATACGGGGTCTTGTCGGATAAAATAGGTGTAGGTGTTCGATTAATCAGATAACCAGCAGCAAGAACACAATGACCCCAGAACTCAATCGGTAAATGGGCCTGAAAGCGAAGAGCACGGGCCACATTAAGAATATGTTGATGCTTGCGCTCAACACGCCCGTTTTGTTGAGGTGTTCCAACACAAGAAGTTTCGTGAACAATCCCTTGTTGGAGGAAATAATTACGCATGCATGTGAATTCAGTCCCATTATCCCTCTGAACTGTTTTAACCAAAGCGCCAAACTGCCGTTTAATAAGAGCAAAAAAATTCATCAAAGTAGAGGAGACAGACGATTTATCATCCAATAAGAAAATCCAAGTACCACGAGAATAGTCGTCAACAATAGTAAAAAAATATCGAGCACCACTAAAGGCAGGAACTCTATAAGGTCCCCACACATCGCAATGAATCAGGCTGAAAATGGAACTGCTAACATTACGACGAAGAGGAAAGCTAGCACGAGATTGTTTTGCCCGACAGCAAATATCACAAGCTTTATTCGAGACCAAGGAGCGAGACTCGACAAAAGGTAATTGACCGAGAACTGTAGAAGAGGGATGACCCATCCGCTGGTGCCACAAGTGCTGTAAAACCGAAGACACCCTAGAAGCATTGACAGTGATCGTTTCTCGGAAAAAATAGAGTCCCCCCAACTGCTCACCCGCTCCAATCACTGTCCTCGAAGTGAGGTCCTGAATAGCACAAGATTTGTTTGTGAAGGTAGCAACACAGCCAGATTGTTCCAATAACCGAGATAAAGATATCAAGCTGCACTAAAGACTATCAACGAATAAAACATTATATAAAATAATACGTGAACCGAGATGAACAGTTTCAGCTTTGCACGCAGTGGTGAGCGTGCCATTAGGTAACTGCACAGACCGGGGCAAAATATCTCGGATATCAGAAAAAAATTCCAAGTAGTCTGTCATATGATGTGAAGCACCGCTATCATGCATCCACTCATAAGGACTACGTTTACCGGTCAAATGAGCATTGTTGCGGGCGGAAGTGACGAGGTGGACAATAGACTCTCATTGGGCATCAGTTAAACCAGAAATAGCTGCCCGATCGAAGTCTGTCAGTGAGCCCGCCATGTATGAAGCCAGAGGTACTAAGTGCAGCACCGTTCCCGAAGGCGGCCTTGACAAGGTCGGCAGCGGTTGGTCCGTCACCGCGTCCGCCACGAGACCCACGACCAGCTCGTCCCCCGGCGTGAGTAGCGGTTCCCCCATAATTCTCGCTGGGAACTTTAAACTACTTT